TGCTTTTGATGTGCTTTCTTAAAACATAATATATCTTGGTTGAATTAATTCATAGGTTCATAGAATCTACAAACGAGACCTTTAATGATGATGCCATTTTAATCATCTGTTTCACAGGTGAGGACAGGCCTTGGTGTAGGGTCAGGGACTGCTGTTGTGCCACATAATGGCAAAGCTGGGAGAGAAACCAGATCTCGCATTTCTAGTTTCACAGTTTTCTGGCCGAGGTGACTGTTGCACATTTTTTTTGATTCCAAACACGTTTGACTGAGGTGCGATTCCTGGTTGCATGTAAACACCTGGAAGTATTTCACTGCAAGGGCAGCTGTTGCTGAGGAGTTTTGCGGCTCCGGCCCAGGGCTGTGGATCAGATGCCGCCTGTGTGCTGGGGTGGGAGAGCAAGAGGAGGAGCAAACTTCTCTCCTTACATACTTTGAGAGTTGAATTGAATAAAAAATCTAACAAAACTGTCCTTGTTCTTTCTCTGCTGTTTTTCTTAGATCTTGTGCCTCATCTCACTTTGAAAGAAGTATTGCGATGATCTATTTTTTACCCGATATCAGACATATTGCTCTTTACTTCTGTGCCAGGCAAGGGTGTCAGGGGCGCAGAGTGAATCCCAGCCTCCAGGACGTGCTGCCTGTGGGCCAGGGGTCTGGAGACAAGCCATTCCCTTCACGTCTCTTGGGTGAGAATCACTGCATTAAGTGAAGGGAATGGCTCGTTTGCCCCCCACCAGACAGTGTCTGGTAACCTTTGTCACTGTCACAGCCACAGCTGGGTGGGATGGGGGACAGTGCCCCTGGTGTCCTGCTGAGTAGAGGCTAGAGATGCCATTTAACACCCTGCAGTGCATGGGACTTTCTCTACCACAAAGAATGATACACCCAAAATGTCAGTGGGGCCCAGGTGGAGGAACCTAGGTGCAGCGTGATAATTGCTGCACTGAAAACGACGGCCGTGTTTTCAGTGCCTTTTCTGCCTGGCACTGCCCCCTGGTTGATGTGTGTGTGCTGCTGTTGCCCCAGGTTTGGTTTGGGGGTCTGGGGAGGCTGCGCCGAATCCTGAGGACGGGAAGTATGGGCAGCTACCTGGAGGTGACAGTTAGGACGTGTGGGGAACTGCGGGCTGTTCATTCGGAGTAGAAGTTGGGGGAGAAAGCTGGAAGGAGAGAGAGGAAGTAAGTCGAGGAGAGGGTGTGCCAACAGCAGGCTGGCACCAGCAAATGGATGGCTTTGGATGCCACGCTGTAGCATTTGGTCTTTATTTAAAGGCTGTAGGAAACCAAAAAGAGGTTTTCAGTGGCTTGTTACATGTTCAGATTTGTCTTTTTGGAAGGGTAACTTTAGTGTTTCAAAGAGTACTAATTGGAGGGAGACAGCCAGGAATAAGGAGCTGACTAGGAATCTGTGGCAGTCATTCAGGTAAGAAATGAGCCAACGAAATGTCAGTGGGGATGAGAAAGTGGTCAGGTCCCTGAGTTTTGACTTGTGCCCCTTCTCCCAAGGGAGCAAGGCAGGTCCCCTCTACCCTGACTGCATCCGGCCTCAGGGCACCACCGTCTTGGGGGGCTTGCTGTCCTTTCCGTCAGCTTCGGATGTTGCTCCCCATGGTACACAGGTTACGTCTCCCATCCCAGCCCACCCAGCGTGCAGAGATGGAGAGAATAAAAACGTGCTGGACGGCGGGGAGAATGGGAGCGCTCCGTAGCTGCTGTCGCACATCCTGCTGGAGAATGCAGGACCCCTGTGCACTGGCCGTGGCGTGAAGTCCTTGGTCGGCCAGTTTGGCGGCTTTGGGTTTTGTTGTCTGAGAGGATCTCTTGTTCTCTGTCCTTTGTAGCTCGTCTGGGAGGCCGTGTAATTCATGTTTCACCTCAGATGTCCCCTCCTCGGGAACTGGGTACAAAGCAGACGTCCAGTCTTTAACTGCCTTGTTGTAGCTATTGGCAGGACACCTGTCATCTGCAGTTTTCTAGTTCGTTTACTCGTACTTTTTCTGTCCCTCGTATCCTGGAGTGTCAGCTCCTGAGGATGGGAGGGGTCTTGGCTGACATTAACTTTGAATCCTTAGTACCTGCAATAATATCAGGCCAAATATATTTCGAAAGAATGAGTAAATGAATGAGAGGTATAAAACACCGACTGGGGAACAGGTTTCTTATTTTTGGTGGGGAGAGGAAGACGAATTCAGTTTTGGATATGAATTTTAGGAATATTTAGGTGCAGGTATCCAATAAACCATTAAACATAGGAGTCAGAAGAATTACAATGAAGACAGCTCCTGTTTCCTGAGCCTGTACCGGGCCCTGTTCTTAGCCTTTTATTGATCTTAGCAGAGTGGAGCTGTAGAGGGATGGCGGCAAAAGTTGGCACCATCAAGTGGGGGTGTTCAGGGAGTGTCCATGAGGAAAAAAATAGGACCAAGATCCTGGGGACACCCGTGTGTAAGAGAGAAGCATGGACCAGGCATGTGTCAGAAGCAGTGACCAGACACTCGAGGGTGGGCACTTGGAGGGGAGCGTTTGGTGTCCGGGGAGGAGGGGAGCTCACTGGATGTCTCCGACCTGAAAAGTGTCTGTGGACCTCAGCGTCAGAGAAGTGACACCTGGAAAGAGCTGTTTCAGGAAGCTCTGGGGAGAGGAATGAGGTCAAGGGTTCGAGAATTTACATGGGAAAGAGCCAGTCGAGAAGGGAGAGTTCGAAAATGAAGACAGAAAATGGTTACTGCGTGATTCCTGGGGAGGTGGGAGTTGGTGGCAACCGGAGCTTTGGTTCTTTGTGATCCCACAGCCTTCTGATTTTCTTGTCTGTCTTCCCCCAGTGGAACGGGGACAGGAGAGCCTTACCGGCTGCCCCGTTACGGCTCCTGACTCAGCTGCTGTCGGTCACAAGGGCAGAGGTTCCTTTGCTCACCTTCTTTCACTAGGACCAGTTGTTAGTTTCATACTTTTCCTCGTCACTGTGGCTTCACTTGACTGCACTTTGATTTATTTCCACTAAGTCCAGAGTTATGGTTGCATGAAGGTTGTTTTCAGAAATGGTCAGGTTACCAGTGGTTGAAATGGCTCAGCATTATCAATAAATGCACATTTAGTAAGGAAACCTAAATTACATGTATATTGTAGAAGTTTAAGAATTTGCATCTACCATATCTTTAGAAATAGAAATTAGGTTTCCAACTGGCAAAGTAAAAAGTAAAGAGTGTTTCTACAATGTGCTGTTCAAATATAAAGTATACTTTAGTTTCTTGGTACACAGATTCTAAAATTTTTCATATCGCTTGAGATTTTCTGAATTTTTATCTGGTTTTAATGTCTATAGATAATGGAATTAGATAATATAAAAATGAAGTATTTTTCTCTTTGTTGCTTTGGGAAGGAAAAACCTTTAATAGAATTTAAAAATGCATTGAACATTTATTTGAAAAGGGTTTCCCGTAATTTTCATTGTAGATTCTGGAGATTAAGATAAGTCATTCCTTTCGATAATCTGTTTTTAAAAAGGGAACAAATTATATGATAGCATGTGAAAAATACACAAAACTAGTTCCCTGTAGGTTTTTCTTTTAGAACAAGCCAATTATGTCTAAGGTAATAGTGTGCTGTCAGCAGAATGAAGCATGTTCAGTCAGGATGCCTTGACCGGACATTTGATTCTTGCTGAAACACAGTCTGGGAAGGACGGGGTGGGAAGGAGGACGGGGAGGAAGGGCGATTCGGGGAAGCACAGGTGTGTGAGCTCCCATGAGATGGTCGGATGTGGTTCGAGAGCCTCAGTGGTACCACTGAGGATGTGACTGATACAGATCCACTTAGCTCCTTCTAAAATTAAACCTTTTGGTGTTAGGACTTAGATTCTTAAAATTTGTTGAAGACCTGAAAGAGCTTTTGTTTATATAGGTTATATTTTGTATACATAGGTTATGGTTTGGTTGTATAGGTTGTATAGATTATATGTATTGGTATTTACTGTATGAGAAATTAAAACTGATAAAAGTTTAACATACATTCACTTAAAAACAGCAATAAGAAATTCATTAATGCTTACATATATAGTATTTTTATGAAAAATAACTATTTCAAAAAATCTAGAGAACATAATGGCATTACTGTGCATTCTTGTTGATCTCATTAATATCTGACTTAATTGAATTTAGCTAGATTTTCAAATCTGCTTCTGCATCCAGTCATTTGGAATATTTCCTTCTAAGTCATCAGAGAATGAGAGTGAAAGAAGCAAGTTGTGTCTTGGTATTTCTAAGAAAATAACTTTAACTCATGGACCCCCTGAGAGGGTTTCTGGGGCCCCTGGACCACAATTTGAGAACCACTGGGCTAAACTGTCCATTTCTCGAGGGCAGAGGCTGTTGCCTTGTTTCCCTTGCTTCTGTTCCTGCGATCCTTGTGAAATGTTCTTTCTCCCCACTCCTCAGATGTCTGTACCCGAGGCCCAGCAGGCGCGTGGGACCTGCTGTGCTCCGGTGGCTCGAGTTTTCTGCACTGGGTCGGGGGCCTAAAGAGCAAGGGAGAAGCAACAGCATTTCATGTGCCAAATGCTGTGTTAGCAAATGTTAACCAAATTTATGGTAGAAATATACAAACTCAGGCTGCAAATATGCATACTGTTGATAGTAAGTTTTCAGGCTTTTGATCAAAATGTAGGTAAACAATATCAAAAGCTATCTTAAAAACTGTGTAAATTTTGGATAAAACAAACATGTACGACTTACAGTGTTTACATTGGAGCAAATTTATCAGTTCCGTTAGGGAAACTTGAAATAGTGGCGTAAAAGCAGTTGCTTTTGCATTTGACTTGCAAAAAATGGAAGCAAAAACGTTTTCAGAACAGCATGAATTTGTCTGCTTTATGTGAATGAGTAGTGGCATTTTCTAACTGCTTGCCTCTTGGGCACATAAGCCGATGGGTTACACTCTTACTAATAGTCTTTGAACTTCTTTCTCTGTCCTTTTCTTCCGGGCCGTATATTGCTGCTTTTAGCGCTTCAGCATGGAAGGGATCTCAAATGTCATTCAGAATGGCCTCCGCCACACCTTTGGAAATTCAGGTGGAGAGAAACAGGTGCTCGGTTATCCTTATTTTCCTCATTCTCTGCTTTTTCATTTCCTGTGTAAGTGAAGGTCCTGAAAGCTGGCATTTTTACTAATTTACTAAGACCATTGCTTAAAAGAGAAATTAAAGTTTAGTATATTTATGGTCTGGATAATATGTAGAGTTTTCCTTTAGGGAAAAAGCTTTCTTCAAATTGGACAATAGACTAAATGCATTCTTAATACATATTGTAGAGCTCTGTTTTTCACTCTTACCTTTAAACAAATAGATATTAACACAAATATAATTACTTGCATGTATGGGATATATCACTGTGAAAAATAACGAGTATGCTTCTCTAATTCTAAAAGTATAAGAAACAAGATGTCATTTTGGGAAAAGAAAACCAGACATTGATATCTTTTAGATTAGCATTCTAGGTCAAAAATATCCCTAGAGTTTATGTCACCTCCTTTTAAATGATATTTATGTGTTTTAAGGTGTATCATAAAGTCAGCCAGCTCGTTTGTGTATCAAGGCACGAGACATTATTTTTATGAAATCATACATAGATATGAGAACAGCAGTTTGCTTTTTATAACAGTTTTGTTTTATGATTTCAGGAGTATCACAAACGTGAAACACATCCACATTAGTGTGTTTAAAATTACTTTTCACAATTTAAAATTTCCATCCCCAAAACAAAACTCTTCCATTTAGCACTTAAGTGAAGGTTAAGAAAGTACAGGTTATCAAAAGAAGGCTTTTGAGCCTGGGGTTTTTACTGAAGGTAGTTTTGTATTTTTTAAGAGGGGAAATAATATTAAATAATACTTCACTCTGGCATTTACAGTTTATAAAGGAGTTCCATGCAGGGATGGTTGAGGGTTTTTTTGTTTTTTTTTAATTTTTTAAAATTTTGGTGCTTCTTACCCCTCTTGAACCCACAAGATGGCAAAATAACTTCCAAACTGACCTACCACAGGGGAGGAGGGCAGGGAGGCTCGAAGGTGCAGCCAGGAGGCATGCACGCCAAGGGCGGCTTCCTGAGCTGCTCCAGGCTGTGCCACGTGCGTCAGTGGGTCCTGGAGAGGGTGCGCTTCCCGCTCTTCGGGTGTTCTTCTCAAGAAACATTCTCGGTTGTACAACCGAGCATCACCTTGGAGAGGTCTACACCACAAGGGTGGTGGGAAACTAAGTTTCTTGAAGATTGAACAATTCACTTTTTCTACTTTTCTATGGATCCAGTTATTGTTAAGCAATGTCTATCTTGTTTTTTGATTGAGTGGGATAAAAATCACTCAGAAGATTAGGGTTAGAGCTGCAGTGTAGGGCGGGGCTAAGTAGTGGGAGGGGCTGAAGGGATTCCGAGGAAAACCAGCAGGTCTCTAGGTGCGCATGCGCAGCCTGCCCTGAACTGTGAGTTTTTGGGAAGTGGCCGGAATAGGAGAATCTGGACAATGATTTTTAGATTGTGCTTTTATGGGACCTACGTACAGGGCATTACTCTGATACCTGAGGGCCACTACACTAGTGAGCTAGGCAGTTTGTCTTAATTTCAGACCCAAATTTTCATGATTCATTCCCCCTGAGGCCATTCTTGCTCTCACTTTTCTCTTTGCCTTTAATACCTTTAAATATTTATAACTACTTACACAATAACTTAAAAGAACAATAATAATATAATAATAATGATGCACCTCTTGATTATTTGGGTAAATGTGTCTTTGTTAGTATCTGGAAGAAGCTGGTATGTGTTTTTAAAGTTATCAAGTCATTCATGTGACCATTTTGTTCCACCAGAAAAAAATGGTCTCAAATAGAACTATTTGGCTGCTGGGAATTATTTTGTTATACAAAACTGTTATGACTATGTTTTCAGTTAAAATTACTGTTTTAAAAATGTGTTGAAAAATACGTAAGGAGAATGTTAGATGCGACTTCACTATGCAAATGAACAAATTGACCAATCATCCTCAGATGATTTCACTCCTGTGAAATTGTTAGTAACTGAAGGGTGAAGAAGTGGCTCTTTTTGTCGACAGTGGAGCGGATAGAGGTGGGTGAAAAAATGAGCTCCAGCTGGGGCAGTAAGACACCTGGGTTTGTTATGAAGTCGCTCAGGTTTTGTGTTATGAGATAGACCCCTAGCAGCTGTATCTAATTTTTGCAGATTAGGTAACTCAGATTTAAGTGACACTTTTTTTTTTTTTAACTTGGTAGTACTTGACAACAGTTATTCCTTATGAGAAAAAGAATGGACCACCATCTGTTGAAGATCTCCAAATATTAACAAAAAGTGAGTAAAGACATTAAACTTACCTTTTGCTGATTTTAGTTGGCTGACTATGCTACTGGTTTGTTGATCAGCAGTAGTAAATGATGTGTCTCCTCTGCTCTTTTGAGGAGGGAACTATAAATGGTTATGACATCTAACACCAAATCTAGAGCTGATTTATGGTTTTTATTTTTTTAAATTTTTCTGGCTCTTAAATGTACAAGCTGAAATTCTGGGGGAAAATGTAACTTAATTCTCCTTTACCTTTTGCATGTTTGAAAACATTCCCATTTATCAATAAATAAGATGCTTCATGGATCTTATGTAAGTATTCAATGCAGAATAGGAAAGATTTAGGAGAAGTACGGCATGCTTGTGTGTGCACGTGCTGTCTCTCTCTAATGCATGGAGAGCCCCAGGCAGTAGGTACAGGTAAAACATCAATTGGAAGTGATATTTTTAAGAATATTCATTCATTCAGCAAACATTTGATGAAGACTCCTCTGTACCAAGTCATTTTCTGGGCGCTTGGGATACTTTAGTGAACAAAGCAGACAAAAGTACTCTAACAAAAATAATGCGTAAGACTTAACTATACATGATATTGAGTGTCTCTTAGGATCGCCATAAATGGGCCCTGCATTCTGGTTCTGTTCCTGTTGTTTACAGGGACATCCTTGGAAGTCACTTACCCTCTGTTGGTCTCAGTGAAAAATGAGGCTAAAAATAATTGCTCCAGTTACATCAGAGTAAATAAGTTAATGTACAGGGTGGGGCAAAAGTAGGTTTACAGTTGTTGGTGTGGAAAATGACACAATAATTAATAACTATTGACACAAGAATAAACTGTTCCTCATCCTCGTGGCTGTAAACCTACTTTTGCCCCCACGCTGTGTATGTTTCAGCCTTGTTTTTCCCAAAGGGGTTGCATTTGCTGATATTAACGGGGGAGCGTCACAGGAGTGGGTGTTGATGATGCTGTCTGTTCAGTGTTTTGGAAACGAAGGACACGGAGACATGGGCCAGGGGGCACCGGGCAAAAAGTGAGTGTCTTCCCTCCTGGCAGCCTGCCTGCCGGCGACCCGAGGCTTGTGTTCATTCCTGTGGGGACTAGTGCTTGAAAAGCACTTAATACTTAAAGATGGATAAATCAGGTGATGCCAGCCAGCCTGAAATAAAGAATCGAGAGATTAGCTGGGTGGCCAGCCCTCTGATTTTCAGGAGAAACGTAAGAAATTCCGAGTGTCCGAGATCACATGGGGGAACAGCTAATCACGGGGCTGAAGCTCTCTGGGCCCGGTCTGCCTCGCTTCTCATGGTGCTGGGTCTGCGTGGGTGATTTTGTGTAGAAGGGAAAACATCTGAATGTGATTGGAAGCAGAAATCCTGGACGTAGTAGCCTTCTAAGATGGGGATATAAATACCGCCTGAAAGCCAGGGCTTGTGGAGAGACCGTGCCCTCCAGACCAAGGACAGACATTCACTGGTCAAAGTCGTCATAATCCGCATATCAGAAGGTCCTTAGTCTGGTTCTCAGATAATATCTTCATAGTTGGACACAACTTGGAATCTTCGTGTGAGTGAATGTGGCAGGGGGTGGCCAACCTTTTGGTGTCTCTGGGCCACTCATTAAGTACATTGTGACACATAATCATAAAAAGAATCTCATAATGCTTTAAGTAAATTTACGATTTCGTGTTGGGCCCCATTCATGGCCATCTTGGGATGCATGTAGCACGTGGGCGGCAGGCTGGGCCCCGGGCTGTTCGAGAATGTCCACATGAACGTAGTTGTGAGGACAGGGTAGTTGTGAAGACAGTTGATGGAAGGATGCCCTTCACCTTGAAAATCAAAAAGTGGTCATCTCCTGAGAACTCTGGGGAGAACCTGAGCCTCTGCTCCCACCACCTGTAGACGGAAGCCCCGTGGAGACTCAGTGTTTATGGTTATGTAGTAGGTAAAAGCTGCCGGAGGTGCAGTGATAATAGTGATAAGAATTAGAATAATGGTCATGTTAATAATTGTGGGTATTGCTTAGGTAGTATATATTATGTGCCATATATATTCTAGGTCCTTCACATCTGAATTAGTAACTGAATACTCGCCACAGGCCTTGGAGGTGGGTCTGATGATCATTCTCATTTTACTTGGAGAAGGAACGTGGTGTCCTGAGTGGTGAAGTCACTGGCTAGGAAGCAGCAGAGCCGGTTGAAACCCAGGAAGGCTGACCTGACGGCCCCACTGTGTAGCACTGTCATGTGTCTGGGAAAATAGTGCGGCATTTTCCCCAGGACTCGCTGGAGAAAATTTGAGTTGCCAGTCAGTCACTGCAAAGGTGCAGTATTCATTTGTAGGTTATCTGTACCTGGGTGATCTGGATTTTTTTTTTTAACCTTTGCTGAGAGGTACAGTCATCAGACTCCCTGTAGGGTGAGGCCGAGTCACCCGGTTCCTGGGCAGTAGAGCAGGTGGCAGCCTTCCTGGTGCCGCTTCAGGGACATCTGGTTGGTCTGCATTTCGGTCCTTTCTTTAAAAATGTCCAAGAAGCCTCGCAGGTGTGCTCCTTCCATGTAAATGACCAGCTTACTCCTCCTGCCTCCAGTCTGTTAAATCGGGGAAATAACTCACGGGTAACTGTAATATTCTTACCTGAATAAGGACTTAATTCAACTATACTTGAGCATAAAAATAATACTTAGTGTGAATTGATTATACCATAGGGTTACTTATGATTAAGGTTACAGTGATTAAAATTAATGGTATTTCTTAATCTGAATTTAGAATGGTTGCCTTTTCCTTCTTTTATTTCAGTTCTTCGTGCCATGAAAGACGACAGTGAAAAAGTTCCGAGCTTGTTAACCGATTATATACTGAAAGGTGAGTTTTATAATGGCTTATGTGCAGTGGGTGGGGGGTTCTGGCTAGTCAGTAGATGCATTGTCTTGCTAATAGATTAAACATAACTTTCCAAGGCACAGCCTTTACTAATTTTATGTGTGCAGGGTGAGGATATATGGCTTAATTATGCTACCAACATTATAAATTACGTTTGTATAAAATTTAGCTTTTCCTTGAGGTCCTGAGCTGGGAATCATTTCCATGACTGAGTTATAAGCCTGGAGGCAGGGAGTGGAGGAAATATTATGGACATGGTGCCATGATTGTGAGTTTCAGTGCTACCACTGGGCGGGGTTGAGAAGGGAGGTCTCTGCCATCTAGAGGGTGATAGGACGGGGACAGATTAGTGAGGCAGAGGGAAGGAGGGAACAGAGCCAGGAAAAGAGTGGACTTCCATGAACCCAGGATGGTGAAGCATGAGCCATAAATTGTAGGAGCAGGAGCAGGATCAGACAGGATAGGGATAGTGAGGAGGTGGGCGGCTCAGAAGCCGGATCGCCTGCTGTGCTCAGGGAGGGCAAGGTGTGGATGTTAAAGGGGGCACCGAGGAGGACTGTAGTTCTGGGCACAGCCAATAGCCTTCAGTGCAGTTGTTTCTGAAAAGCAGCAGTGATTCAGGTGGCAGCTTTTCAGAGCATCACTCCTGTAGGGTTGGAGCCTCTTTTAAGAGCAACCTCTTCTGGTAACTCTTCTTTTGGGGGGCAGTTCTTAGCTGGACATAAGGAAGGCTGGGATTTCTGAGATGTTTGATAACTAGGATGGGATGTTTCTTCTTCAGGAAGAGGTGATCTTGGTGGTAGACACAGGAGCTTAAAGGGGTGGTACTTAAGTATCACCTGTAGGAGACTTGATGTGGGTGGAGTTAGCCAGCTGGCAGTAGTTAACGGGGTAGAACAGGCATTGCGTTTTTTGTAAGCTGAGTTTTTCTGATAGAAGGCTTTTTCTTATTGTATTCTGAAATTTTTTTTAACATCTGACATCTTTGTTTGCTTTTTGTCGTGCTAGCATTGGTATGAAAGCTGGATTGTTCTGAGGTCTGTTCTTAAGAGATGTGAAACAGGAATGAGGTTAACATAAAGAACATGTCAATTTTTAATTATCGTGTGTCCTCAGGGCCTTGCCGTGAGGGGCTGAGAGGATGAGCTTCTGAACCATTGTTTTATCATGACTTCAGGGAAGAATTTCATGATGCAGAGAACAGAGTGCTCTGGGGGGAAATGATTTTTAATATTTTCCTCTAAAACCTGGGCTGCAGCTGCGAACCTGAACTGCCTGCCTCCGGGAAGCAGCACACGTGCAGCTCTGCTCCCACACGCAGGCTGCCGGCTCCCCTGTGAGCCCAGGTCTGCCTGTCCTGTACCTGCCCCTGCCGAGCTGTGTGTGTTGTGGTTTTGCTCTGTAAGGACTGGGTGGAAAAGGAGCTTGGTTCAGACAAAGGTAGTGGCACTGCAGCCCAAGAATGTGAAGGAAGTGTAATGCCCAGAGGGGTTCAAGTGCATGGGGACGTGAGGATGTGGGGTGATTTCAGTGCAGTTTGCCACCCGTCCTGGAAACCCACAGCCAGCTGATGGTCCTCTCCCTCTGGAATCAGTAGCAGAACATTTGCCTGGAAGGTGGTATTCCTCCAAGGGAGAAAGAACTTGCCTTCCCTTTCCTTGGTGGGCTTTCTCTTCTCATTGTTTTAACACCAGTGACTGTGGCTTGGCTGCCTAAATATGCCACTTTAATGTTAAGGTGCCAGGTAAGAAGTGAAAGAAGGTAGGAAGTGGCCTCATTTGGCCTGAGGAAGATGGTTTGGATGCTGTCTGGGCTGCTTGAGCTTCTCTTGCTCACCCCCCTCATTGCCCGCCTCCAACAGCTGTACCAAAGGCCTGGAAGTTAGGGCCCCAGGGCTGATCCCGGATAGGAACAAAATGTGTGCAGAGACCTGCACCTTTGAGTCTGCCAGGGAGTCTCTCTGCTTTGTTACAAGCCTCATGGTACAGGGCTAACATTATGGGCCTCTGTCTCTAAGTGGTAGGTACCCCAAGAGACATGGCCATTTGGTGTTTCCCTTCTGGGCAATTCTAACACGTGTCTTAAGAGAATGAGTCAGTGGTGGGTGTATAGCATTTTAAAACCTTTTGTTTTTATCTGTTACTATAGATCCATGCATTAATATTTAGTTTTACTTTTGGTGTCTTTATATAGATATAAGATACATATAAAATGAATATGCATCTTACATATGCATATACAAAAGATACATTTCCATGTTTTCTTTTTCTCCCTCTAGTCCTGTGTCCTACATAGGACAGCATCACTTCAGGAGCAGTTCTGCCTTTTGTGGACTACAAGCTAGATTTCCTACAGCATTCCTCTGAACGCTGGCTACGTCGCCTTCCTGCTATTGGGAACTCAGCACACTTGAACTTGGGTTTGTGATTCAGTATTAATAGATCATGCCTTCACTAATTCTTTTATTATGAACCAAGAGGACTATTTTGAAATCGAGGGATGGTTTTTTGTTAAATACTAACACTTATGAACTCTTCAGCTCTGTAGAGTAAGGCGGCGTAGTATTAATCATGCATGCAGTTATATTTTTCATGAACTGACAGTATGCCGATTTCAGTTCTTACGACTTTCTAGATCTCAGCTGCTTTGGAGAACTGGACCAAAGCACTGAGAGATTTATACCATAGCTACTCTCCAGTGATGGCAGAAACCAACATTGGTTTTTATGAGAATTGTCACTATAAACACCACCTCCCAGTATTGTCCAGAGAGCCTGCAACTTAAACTTAGGTCGTTCCCAGAAGTGGTGAAACCAGAATATGTGTTGTCTGGGCTTAATAGTTGTGAACATTGAAACTGGCGGCGAGGACTGGCTTCAGAGGTTGCTGCTTTCTGCCACTGATTGTGTTTTAACCATGACGTTGCCATTTACTTTCAGAATCTTGTGTCATTTTTAACTTAAAACATTTCGTCTCACGTATCTGTGGAGAAGTGTCCTTTTCAAAGGAGTTTATATCCTTAAGGTGCTTAAGCAGCTGTCCTCCGCAGCGCTGCCCACTCCCCGTTACAGTGTCCCCTTCACTCGCGCCCGTGTGTTCCTAAAGTACCAGTTCTAGAAACCGCTGCTCATGGGCCTGTCACTAGTCATGAAACAGTTTTGCCATTTCGGATCAAGTTAATGTCCTTTAATAAATGTTGACACGTGATGTATGCTCGAGAGCTTTATTTTCAGAGTTTTGGGTATAGTTCTTAACACTTTTTCTTCCCTTGCAGTGCTAGCTTCTTCCCCTTACTCTCCCACACACTGTCTGCCACCACAGAGTGCGAGCTGGCCAGACCCTGAGTAGCCTCCTCACGGTAAGGAGGGGGCGGGGGGCCTGTGGGACGCTGTCCGCAGCTGTGGCTGCTGGGACTCTGGCAGGCCGTCGCCCGGACAGACTGACAACCAGAGGACGGTTTCCTTCCTCCTCCCAGATGTGAGTCTTGGAAAGTTAACACTGTGTGAGATTTAAGATTGAAAGTGTTGATTTGTGAGAACCAAACTGCAAACCCTCCCCTTGCAGCCTTGGTTTTCTGAAGAAAACAGAACAAACTGTACGAGAGCACACGCCATGTGCCTGCCATAGATCAGTTTTATTCTTTAGGAAATCATGTTTGTTTTTCTTTTACAAGAGCACAACAGGAACCAAAGTAAAAGAGGAATAGATACAGCACTCAGGATAAATCATATCTTTAAAAATAAAAAAATTTACACCTTGTCCTATATCCTGTTAGTATTTTCATAATATGGCCATGATTGAAAAAACAAAAAGCAAGCATTTACAATTTTTTTGATAAAGACTTTTTATGCCAGGAATGGATTAATTGTCAAAAAATTTTAATAATAATTAGGCTGATGCAAGTCTATTTTGGTAACATATCATTAACAAATTTATTTTGGAAATAGATAAAAATATTGCCCCTTGATAATAAATCTTTTTTTCTTTGATGCAAACAGCTAGAACACCTTTTTTTCTTTTTCTTTTTTGATATTCTAAGACAAAGAAAATGGTTAATCTTCAGATTAATAAATTAGGTCATTATAATAATAAATTAATTTTTTTTAAAGTTCAGCAACCTCTGTCCAAGTATTTACAACAATACTTGAAAGTTCCTTTACAAAACAGAACACATTTTCTTTTCACATTAAGCATACTGGGTATCTGTCTTTCACAAAAGAAAAAAATCAATGCACAAATGGGTAATTAGTATAAAAGTGCTAAGAGCTGTTTGAAAAGTTAACACTATAGTATATAGTCAGTCATATTTGAGGCAAACTACAACAAACTTCCAGCTTATTATGGACAATATTCCAGTAGTTGTTCCAAACAGTTGTTTGAAGGAAAACAGAAAGGAGACCCAGGAGCTGATTTGGTGACGTGCACAGACTGCCACCGGGGGTCCTGGCAGGCGGAGTGAACTGAAAAGCAGCTGAAAGCAAATCCAAACGCGGCAGAGGATTTAGTCAAGGAATGCCTGCTCCGCAGCAGGTGCGGTGCTGCCTGCCCACGTGTGTGCGACACTCTCACACACACACTCACACGTGTATTTCTTCCCCATTCAACTGCAGGTAGGATGAGATTTTTGTGTTTAAAATTTGTAAGTGATCAAAAGCATTGCTATGGAATGCCTGTTTGTCTTTGTTCTGGTTAAAATCTCATAAAAATACATTCAACAGGAAAACATAAATTGTATGTGTATAAATATATATGTTTATATATATTATATACACACGCACACAAATACTTTTGTTTTTTTTGAAGCATAAGATAGTTACATAAATATTCCTATAATTGCTAAAGTTTAAAGAGGCATATTTTTTTTTGAGCTTCAACAAAGGTGCTTGAATAATATACAATTAAAATGAAGTAGTTTCTATTTTGTAGAATCAGTATATAATAAGGAAAAAAATCTCCAAAGTCTTTTTTTAAAAAAAGTTTCTTCTTAAGCTAGAGCTTCAACGAAAACTAGGAACCACCAACGATCTAACAGAACAAAGCAACAACGAACAAGGAAGGACAGCCCCTGGGCGTCCCCTGCCTGCCCCGCTGTCCTCGGAGAAGCTCCAGTGCTCACACCGAGAAAGGACTCTAGGTCCTGTGTGTCTGCTGATTGGCTTGGAAGAAAACGAAAGCAGCAAAAGGTCTAACTGTATCTATTCTTGGTAACCCGCCTGAGAGAAATGCTGCCCTCACACTTCTCTCGCTTCCTCACTGCCTACTGCAGTTGCGACGCTAGGAAAGAAACTGTGGCTTTAGACCTGGGATGGCTATCGAAAGGTTCTGGTGCGCTCACCTGGTAGTTCTAGGTGGTCGTGGCAGCTGGGTCCCAGGGCCTCTTGTGTTTCCTGCTCGCTCAGGCCTGAGCTGTGTGCTGCAACCAGTGCAGTCTTCAGAGCAACAGGAAAAGCTGCCCTCGGGCCTCTGCACCGCACCCGTGTCGCTGGGGGTCGCCCCCGAGCCAAGCTGACCAGTCTGTCTTCCCGACACCACCCGCCCACCCACTCCCCCAACCACACTCACCTGTCCCCACCCCCAAATATCTCTACAGTTATAGCACAAGCAAATATACCTTAGCAACTTCAAAAACTTTGGTTCTAAGAAAACACTTGGTCAGTCATTTTGAGGCAAGGTGGGAATGGTTGGTCTGCAGGCTGCCGGAGACAGAGCCCCTCCCAGTCCGCTCTCCGCGCTGCACGTCAAGTCACAGTCCGATGCCGTCCGCTACGCAAGTGCACAAGTTCTAGTTTACTTTTAAGAGCAGATTTAGTCGCTTCTGTCTTCTACACCTCATCCAGCTGGCCGGCCCTCACACCGTCTGGTAGAAGTTGTCCGCCTGTAGAGGGCTCTGTTTTTGCATGCTGTAGAAGCCACTGAATCTTGCATCTGGTTCAGCAATTCTTAGCATTCTCTGGGTACTGTCACCCTGGACTCGAGCTCCTTTCTTGCAGTCCACAGATACCAGCTGATTATTTAAGGAAGAAGGCTATGCAGTGAGAGGAGGAAAAACCATAAAGAATTAGCTGTTTCATGTTTCAGAAATTAATGCAAACTTAGTACCTAATGCAAGTGGGATAGCAGCTTCACAGAATACTGATGGGCAGACTCTACGTGGTCCTTACATCTGTTCTAGTACCAATGACAGTTTTACGCAGGATGCTGACAAACTGGGGTTAAAGGTGAAATGTCAGTAAGTTATGTCAAATAAAGTGAATGAGGGAATTGAAGGGAAAACAAGACTGGCAAGGTGAATGACCTCGCCCTTTTCAAATCCTTAAAGGGCAAGTACCCAGGACGGCTGAAGAATGGGCGAGAGTTACCAGACAGGCAGATTTTCAGAGAACCAGGCACTTCTGAATCACTCAGGCCGTGTAACAGTCCGTGTCTAATACCCCCATGCACTTTATCGGTGGGTCTGTTTCCTGCTCGGCCCCGGATCCCGACCCGGCTTGTGCCCAACACACAGGCCCAGTGCTGGTTTGTCCACAGAAAATCAGAGGCAGGACGAAACATCTGCTGGGATTTACAGGGAAGGCTCATCTAGATGGTAAATCGGACAAAATAATTCAGGCTGTTTTCTATCCTTAACGTTGTGTGGTTTTTCTTAGGAAAAAACTAAATGCAAAAGGTGGAATCGGGGTTGGAAAGCGCCACGATTTATTTCCTTCAATGAAAGTAAATTTTCTTGCCTTTTAGAACAGTCAGACTTGACCACAGATACTCTTTCTCCCCCAGCATGAGCTCTGCCTTGTCTAGTGCCGCCTTCCGCGGTCGCTCCATCTTTTGCTCCCTCCCCTCCCCCCGCTGCCCCTGGACGTGTCTCCGGGCCCCTGGACTCCGTGTCCTCACAGTCGGCTGGCCCTCTTCTTGCCTCTCCGAGTATCATCAACCTCCCCTTACGGTTTCTTTCCTCTCCCAGTTCTAAGTTGATAAGGTCACTGAGAAACACCAGATGACTAGCTTTTAATGTCTTATATAACTAATGACTTAGAAATCAATCCAGAGCAAATTGGGTCTGTGAAATGTCAGGTTTCGTTAACCAGTGGATGATGGGTAACTCCAATGACTGACCCAGCCCTGGGCCAGTCCTAGAGGTCAGATTGCTTCAGCCTGGTGTGTACCTGAGGCTCTGAAGAGCTAAGTAAAAATTTCACTGGCTCGTATAAAAGATATCAGACAATTTAAGCATGTAAGCTCCGCTAGTTTGATCAAGACAAGAGACAAACTTTTTCAGGATGCTACCTTAGTTGGTGTTCGATACCAGCAAAGCAGGGGTATCCACTGTTTCTTCTGGTTGATGAAGAGGAATGCTATTATAATAGAGAGGCCCAGGATGACGGGGACCGCCACCGAGACGATGCTGTCGAGCGAGGAGTCCTCGGCTGGGTGCCGCCTGTTGTTTTCTCCGTAATCCACCTGGAGGTGACCCATTTCTGGGGGAAAAAAAGATTGTGAATATTTAATATCTATACCAGACTTTTTAAATTACATTGCAAAGAGGAGTCAGCAGCCTGGTTTCATTGCATCACAGTACAGTAGGCTAGAATAGGGCTGAAATCAATCCAGTGTTGATCTGGAGAGGGCAGACTCAGAGATGGGGGTGAACGAGGAACTGTGACCAGCAGGGGGTTGGCAGCTGCACAGGAAGATGCTGCTTGTAGTTAAGAAAGTATGAAAATTCTTATGGGGTAGTAAAATATTTTTATTAATATTAACTTATTAGCTTCTAGCTTTTTAAAGCAAAAATATTAGTTCTGCTTACTTGCAAGTAGATTAAAGTATATTCTTTGTCTTACTAGGGTAATAGCTAAGACTAATTACTAGTGTAATAGTAAGCTAGAATCAAGAGCTTGGTCTTTCGGTTGGTATTCTGGTTTACCGAGCTGTTAGCAAAATTCTTTCTGTCCTTTTGTCGTCATTTTTGCAATGACTGGCAGACAGAGGAACACACCCTGGAAGTGTCCTTACTTTTATTTCCTTTCAAATAAACCACTGTAGTCACAATGTCTGAATGAATCGGAGACCAGGTTAGTGAAAGGCACAGGATACACACAGTCAAAAGCAGTTGCTCCTAAATTGTTCTGGAAACTCAGCTCATGAAGTAGCACAGCTTTGTGATATTCAGAATGTCGAAAGCTTAAAAACTCCGGTTTTTATGAGTATGCTTCTGTGTATATGTAGGGGGGGGTGGTATAGATGGTAATATTTCATAAATGGGAGAGAAAAAAAACAGGAACGTATTTATCAGCATCAAGAAAAATGCCAGAGGTAAAAATAACCAGTGAATTCAGGCTTTAAATATACAACTAATAAAAGAATGACTTTTTGGCTTACCACATTCCAAATGACATTAGAAATGGTTTTCGGAATATGTGTCATACAAGAAGATTTTTAAAAAATAAATGAAGGAAAATCGTGAGAGGAAAAAGAGACTTCAGCTAAGGTCTGTTTACAAAACACAGTCCTTCTGTTTGGATGGTAAAAGCCATAAAATTTACCTCTGAACTTTCCTAGTAGCCAAAGCAAAACATGGAAATAAAGTATCACTGGTAAGATCCACAATGTCTCTAAGATTAAAACCAGTTTGTTACTTAGGAGAAGCATGAATGTCCCTGCTATTGGCACATGAGAAAGCTTCCCCTCAGGGTCCAGAGATAGAGTACTATGTAACACACAGACCCTCGGCACGTTACAATAAATGAGGCTAAATCTTGTGGCCAAAGCCTGGCCTGGAGAACAGTGCGCACAGACTGACCACGAGTATCTACTGACCGATGAAGGTAAACACAGCGCTCAAGCCTCATGCAGCAGTTATGCACGGAGCCAAGACACTGTCCAGGAGCCTGGATCCCAGGTTATCTGGTGTGATCTAAGCACAGCACTTAGGATAGTAGCGTAACAGACCATTCCTCTCTCAAGCAATGAACATCGCTTCTTCCAGAAACATAACAACTGTGTGGCAATGATTTTGGAAGTGTCCTCAGAGTAGACAGGAGCCAGTATTGGGTCCTGGCTAAAAGCGAGATTACACTATTTTGATCAAGAGATTGGTTTTCAAAGGGAAGGCAATACTGACAAATGCTGCTTTCCTTTAGTACTTAACTGTTGAGAGACAGAATAGCATCTCTATTATGCACAGCTGAAAGGGCAGAGCAAGAAACAGAGAAAGCATGGAATAAACGTGGTGAGAGAAGAAACTAACACGTAATCCAACTCTCACGGAGTGGAAACTACCCAGAATTAGGGGGCAGTCTCAGGCATATGCTCACAGATGCATATGCGAACCCAAAGGGACAGCGAATATTTGGTTGTTACTCTACTTACCGGGTTTATTCACATACATAAATATTGGTGAGAGCTTAGAAATTCCACTGAGGACAAGGAACATATTTTGTTCCATCATCACTAAGTCTCTGGACACTCGGGGCCGGAAGTCCAGTGGCCTGCAGACTGACTTTATCATTCGGGTTGTAAATATGTTACAGCCAACCCTGTCACCTCTAAAGTGGTTACTTGAACTTTAGCACTCCATTTAAAAAGTTACTAAAGGCATTTTAAAAATTAAAGCAACAACAAAACAAAGTAGGGCCTACACAAGACCGGACTGCTCCCAGTTGCCGGGCACTCACCTCTGGGGAGGTGGACGACGTCATTTTCACTGGGCGTGGGCCACGGGGGAACCAGCACGTCAGCCTCTCCACGGTGGTTCATTTTGTCGATGGGCACGTTGGTTGGTTCTGGGACATACATTTCTGAAAGATGGGGACATTTTCCGTCAGAGATGATGGAGTGGCCGCTTACCGTTAACTTTTGTCTCCACATCCAAATGGATGGTGCGTTCAGTCCAACACGGTCTGTCCTGGGACGTGAAAGATGCAGTTTCCCCATTTATGTCACTGCACCTGGAGTCACCGGCTTTGCCCGGGTGGGGAACGCGTTCTTTTTAAAAAGTCCTTTTTTTTATTGTTGTTCAGTTGTCCCCATTTTCCCTCCATTGCTCTCCCTTTATAACTATTTAAAAGAAGATGAAGAGAGAGTTTTCTTCTCTACCAGAGTCAGATACTCTGGTCTAATTTTGTGCATATTATAGGACTGGCTGAAATGGAAGGATTCCTTTTACTTTCTATCAGCTAAATAAATACTCTACCACCGTAACCACTCTTGCTCTTGGGGAGTCCTTTGCCCGACACAGCAGGT